GTAAAATTTAGGATGTGAAATAAAATTGAGAATGGAAATGGGGAATGTGTCAAAGAGACAACAACCCGACCAATGATCAGAAAACAGCCGAAGGCCACCAATGGGTCTTTAAATAAGTTTTCTACAGGTACAGTTAAATTTACTAATCAAATCTTTGTATCGATGAAAGAATTTAGTTAAAAGTTTTAAGTAATTTATGGTAACGAAATCCCTGACTTAATAATTTAACAGTGATGCATTGCCTACGTTCGTTAAAATCTATGACATCACTACACACACGGGCATAACGAACGAGTCGGGATATATAAACACTGCATGATGGAGCCAAAGGAACATCGCCGTGTAAAAAAGGAAAATTACCAATAAGGAATGAATATTCATCTCTTTTGTCGTAAATTTTAGTATGGAGTTTCCCTTTAGAAATTGAAATGTCTAAATCTAGAAAAGGACAACTACTGGTGTTCATGTTAGATTTAGTTGGAGCAAGTTCCTTTGGGTAAATTTCGGTAGTATATTTAGAGAACTCTGGATTTTTTAACGAAAAAAATATCATCAAGATAACGGTAGGTATTGTTGAAGGTATCAACCAAATGTAACAATGACGTGGGTTTACTGAGTTTGGTAATATGAGATTCATAGCAATACAGGAATAAATCTGCTATTAAAGGGGCGCAGTTAGTGCTCATAGGAATACCTACTACTTGTCGATACACTTTATCGCCGAAACGTACATACATATTGTCCAATGGAAATTTTAAAGCTTCAATCATATCTTCACATTTCCAGTAAGTGTATCTGGCATACTTCCCTTTTTCATTACAGAAAAAGGCTTTAAACGAGTTACAGCAAATAAATTTGCAGAGATTTTTCAAAAGACCATTTAATTAAATATGAAAACTTTTTCTTGATAAGATTGTGTGGAAGTGTAGTGTAGAAAAACCATAACTGTCAACAGAATTGAATTAAAAGGACCATCAAAAGCATGTATTGTATCTAAAACCTCTAAAGAATTTTTAACACTCCAAAAATAATTAATACCATTATTTTCATAAGCTTAATTACAAAAGTTAGTAACAAGTTCTTTGATAGTAGTAAGGGAGGTAGTTAAAAGCACTGATAGATTAGTAGTAGAACACTCACCAGATGCGGAGATGAAACAGAAAAGTAGAATCTGTTTCAAAGGAAGGAATACCTGGCGAATGCTTTCCAGTTCACGAGATTAAAACAAATAATTACAATAACTGTTTTCAATATTACCAACGTATACAAGAATTCATTTATAAAACCTTGCTTTGGACAAATTTCCAGTTGCTTCAAGACTGGTTTCTAACCGTACCTTTAAAAATGGAAGCGATCTTATCATCCTAATTTTTCAACTCCAAACGTCCAAGAAAAACCGACCGACAAAATATTGAAGCTTCATGAGAATGGACTGAATATTCTGAATAAAAATTACACGGGTTCAGTATAGCCTATGAACACTGAAGAACTTGTAAAATTATCACTCAGTGAAGACAGTATTTAACATAAACTCACACAGTGGAACAAGTTATAATTTAAAGACAGCAGGGCGATGGCTTCGGAAAGAAGCAGATTCTGATTGATTGATTGTTGGTTGCTTAACGTCCAGTGGCAAATATTTCATGCATATTCAGGACGAGGACAAGTTCACAATAAATACAATAGGTAGGTTCTGTAATAGATTAAGGGATTACGGTAGGAGAAATTTAGACTGCCACGGGAAATGAGGGTATATTGGATAGGGACAGAAATTTAGCCTTGCAACAGGTCACCTACGGACCCCTCAAAGAGTTGTTGCAAGGGTTCTTAACGTGCAAAGAGGGTGGCACTCTCTTTACACGAGGCATCGGATTTAACGTCCCCATTCTGACCGGACGTGGCTGCAAATTTGTACGTCCCGCACAGCCAAACGGACGCCCCACTTTAGCACGGGTTTTACTGGCGGTCGGAGGAAGACCAATGGTGACCATACTTCTATTCCCCAGTCACCCTTGGGGGGGGGGAAGCAGATTCTGACAAGGTTTACTACAATGCATAAAGAAAGAAACCCCATCTTCCATACATATATACAAAGGACGAGGAACCAATGGAGCTCAACATTACAACGAGAGATTGTCATGCTATCATTAAATACGATTGCGAACACATGATTATCCAGATCCAGGAAAGAACCGAACGTATCAATTATGCACATTACCAATTACACTCAAAGGTCTTCCTATAGATTCAAATATCACAAAACTTGCATTCGAATGACTGCGACAATGATTTGAACTGCAATTGCTTCAACCGCAGTGGAATGTCAAAAGAAGATGAACATTTACATCATCTGCTAAACTTGACGGATGAAGAAAGTAAAATGATGTACAAGTTCAAAAGCCAACTGAATTGGGAATTCTCCTTACAATTTGGTAAATCTAATAACGCAGCAGTTATTTCAATCTCCCATCAAAAAGATTAAAGATAGTGATGAACAAGACATCGATGATACAAATGACAAAAACATAGATTAACACAACAAGACTGCAGATATATAACACTTGACACAGGTAATTATAATTTATGTTTGTCGTTGTCTGCCTTTTAAATGAAAACATTTACGTTATTGATATTTACCCTGCTCAACATTAAAAAAGGAATCACAAAATCAGTGTTTAAATCAAGATCAACATTATGCTCACACGAATTACGTGTCCTCTCTCTAAGATGGTATTACTGTTTTCTCCTTTCACTTTTGTCAATAATTTTGTCGTTGCAAGTATCTGAAATTGTACACGCCTGTTTATATAATGAGGACACCAGCGTAAACATGCCATCCACATAATTTAAAGCTGAGAACACATGCAAGCACCAATATTTCTTCATTAAATGGCTCAAACATGGATCCCTGATTGTTTTTGTTTTTTTCTTTCATTGCACTTTTGTTTTTGTTTTTTCTTTTTCTGTTTCATTAGAGTCTGGTGCTTTGAAAGGCATTTAGTTTATGGACACAGGATTATTTTCCTTTATGCACATTCTCAGGTTGTGTACTGCAACTGTAGAAAGTTTCATCAATATCTATCAAGCTGTTAAGGAGGAGTTATGCTCACGAGACATGTTGCCACATATTGGAATATTAAACAAAGTACAAAAAAGTAAAATCACAATAATACTCAACTCCGAGGTAAATTCAAAACGAAAAGTTCCTAATCAAACGGCAAAATCAAAAGCTCAAATACATCAAACGAATGGATAACAACTGTCATATTCCGGACTTGGTACATGCATTTTCTTATGTAGAAAATGGTTGTTTAAACCTGGTTTTATAGCTAGCTACACCTCTCACTTGTATGACAGTCGCATCAAATTCCATTATATTGACAACGATAAAATTGAGACAACAACCCGACCGAAGAGCAGAACACAACAAAGAACAAAACAAAACAACAAATAAACAGACATAATAGGTAAAAATGTCAAAAATAGGGGTACAGCAGTCAACATTGTGTTATAATCTTAATCACTATATAAACAAACAAATATGTAACAAAGAAGCACAAAAAGGCAGATAGACAAAGCACATTAGCAAAAATTAAAGAATACAAAAAATATCATAGAACAATAACACAAAGACGGGATGTATAAGTACAGAGCCATGTCATATGTATCAAAGAAACACAAAAAGGCATATAGACAAAGCACATTGGCTAAAATGAGACAAGAATACAAAAATTATCTTAGAACAATAACACTATGACGGGATGTATAAGTACAGAGTCACGTCAAATGGATATCACCAAAAACAGACTAAACAGTAAAAGTAATATATATATTCATAAAGACAAATAACAGAATACTATAACACGTTTTTAAGATAATAAATCAACGTCAGTACCCAGAATCTATACTTATGCTATAACAAATAACTAGTTCCATTTCTAAAAGGGAAAATCCATTCTTTTCCTTTTTTACCTTTGTTTACCACTCCATTACACTATAGTTCGAACGGTTTAACAATGCTTTTTTAAACGTATTTTTATAATTTCCTGCTACGAAACTATGGGTTTTAGACCAATTTATGATCGATTTAATGCATTAAATGCTTTTTAATACTTTATTACCATCTGAAGTGTTAAATTTTTCATATTGGCTATGGAACTTGTACATCTTTTACAATATCTTGTAAATTTAGTATGAAATGTCTCCTTCATTAAACTGGCCCAAAGACCATTTTAAACATACACACATAGCATAACATTTTTAATCTGGTCGTAAGACCAAAACTGGATAAGTGACATTAAAAAAAATTAACACCCATCAACAAAATCTTAATAAATAGCAAAACGTTAGTCCGCAAATGTATTGAAGAAATATTCTGGTCTTTCGACCAAAAAGAAAGTTGCCCAAACGTTATACATATATATCATTCTGGTCTTTAGACCAAATATTCATGTATTTTCTTATTCATTGAAAAAAAAACAACCAAACAATAAAAACCCATTAGTATTTTTGATACTCATAAACTGGTCCTTAAACCAAAAAAGGAAAATGATCATGTAGTTTCTTTCTTAAATGAGTTCTTTGTATTGACTCTTGTTATTAAAAGAAAATCATCAATATCACAACGAATAAAAGGCAGATAATAAAAAAGCAAAACAAAGATGACAAAAGAAACAACTGGGATTTAATGTCCTACCAATCAATCTGAGTCTCTTATATGTTATCAATAAGTAACTACTAAGATATTTTTTGGAGAATAAAACAACTTTGGATTTTATTAATCATGTTAATGAAACATTTCAAATGTGTTCGGAGCTTGTAATTACAACTGACAACTGTCTGAATAATATATAAGTTGGTTTGAAATAGAAGGATAGATATGTGATGTAACAATTCTTTCCCAAATACTTAGAAATATTTTGAGGTAAAAAACCAGCACTAAATACAAATATTCGTCTTTCAAAAAATACATGAACAAAGATTCTAAAAGAAAATATATCGCTAAGTATAATCTATGTTTTTGGTAATAAATTTTAGTTTCAATAAAATAAATATATGAAGAGTAAATTTTTCTGGTAATTTCTTTTATATTCTTCTTCCTTTTCTTTCCTTGGCATGTTTTCTCTGTAATAGAAGAAACGATATATTAACATAATTTTGCTTAATGCATATTCATCCTTTTTTAGCTCACCTGGCCCGAAGGGCCAAGTGAGCTTTTCTCATCACTTGGCGTCCGTCGTCCGGCGTCGTCCGGCGTCGTCCGTCGTCGTCCGTCGTCGGCGTAAACTTTTTACATTTTGAACTTCTTCTAGAGAACCACTGAATGGAATGAAACCAAACATGGCATGAATGTTCCTTATGAGGTGCTGACCAAGTGTTGTTACTTTGTAGCCGATCCATCATCCAAGATGGCCGCCAGCGGGGGACTTAGTTTAACATAGGACCCTATGGGAAATGCATACAAATGACTTCTTTTAGAGAACCACTGAATGGAATGAAACCAAACATGGCATGAATGTTTCTTATGAGGTGCTGACCGAGTGTTGTTACTTTGAAGCCGATCCATAATCCAAGATGGCAGCCAGCGGGGGACTTAGTTTAACATAGGACCCTATGGGAAATGCATACAAATGTCTTCTTTTAGAGAACCACTGAATGGAATGAAACAAAACATAGCATGAATGTTCATTAGGAGGTGCTGACCAAGTGTTGTTACTTTGTAGTTGATCCATCATCCAAGATGGCTGCCAGCAGGGGACTTAGTTTAACATAGGACCCTATGGGAAATGCATACAAATGACTTCTTTTAGAGAACCACTGAATGGAATGAAACAAAACATAGCATGAATGTTCCTTACAAGGTGCTGACCAAGTGTTGTGACTTTGTAGCCATTCCATCATCCAAAATGGCCGCCAGCGAGGGACATAGTTTAACATAGGACCCTATGGGAAAGGCATACAATTGACTTCTTTTAGAGAACCACTGAATGGAATGAAACAAAACATAGCATGAATGTTCATTAGGAGGTGCTGACCAAGTGTTGTTACTTTGTAGCCGATCCATCATCCAAGATGGCCGCCAGCGGGGGACTTAGTTTAACATAGGACCCTATGGGAAATGCATACAAATGACTTCTTTTAGAGAACCACTGAATGGAATGAAACAAAACATAGCATGAATGTTACTTACAAGGTGCTGACCAAGTGTTGTTACTTTGTAGCCGTTCCATCATCCAAAATGGCCGCCAGTGAGGGACTTAGTTTAACATAGGACCCTATGAGAAATACATACAAATGTCTTCTTTTAGAGAACCACTGAATGGAATGAAACCAAACATGGCAAGAATGTTCCTTATGAGGTGCTGACCAAGTGTTGTTACTTTGAAGCCGATCCATCATCCAAGATGGCAACCAGCGGGGGACTTAGTTTAACATAGGATCCTATGGGAAATACATACAAATGTTTTCTTTTAGAGAACCACTGAATGCAATGAAACCAAACATGGCATGAATGTTCCTTATGAGGTGCTGACCGAGTGTTGTTACTTTGAAGCCGATCCATAATCCAAGATGGCCGCCAGCGGGGGACTTAGTTTAACATGGGACCCTATGGGAAATACATACAAACGTCTTCTTTTAGAGAACCACTGAATGGAATGAAACCAAACATGGCAAGAATGTTCCTTATGAGGTGCTGACCAAGTGTTGTTACTTTGAAGCCGATCCATCATCCAAGATGGCAGCCAGCGGGGGACTTAGTTTAACATAGGATCCTATGGGAAATACATACAAATGTTTTCTTTTAGAGAACCACTGAATGGAATGAAACCAAACATGGCATGAATGTTCCTTATGAGGTGCTGACCAAGTGTTGTTACTATGAAGCCGATCCATAATCTAAGATGGCTGCCAGCGGAGGACTTAGTTTAACATAGGACCCTATGAGAAATACGTACAAATGTTTTCTTTTAGAGAACCATTGAATGGAATGAAACCAAACATGGCATGCATGTTCCTTTCGAGGTGCTGACCAAGTGTTGTTACTTTGAAGCTGATCCTTCATCTATGATGGCTGCCAGATGGGGACAATGTTTAACAAAGGACCCTATGGACAATACATACAAATGTCTTCTTTTAGAGAACCACATACTGAATGGATTGAACCAAACATGGCATGAATGTTCCTTATGAGGTGCTGACTAATTTTTGTTACTTTGAAGCTGATCCTTCATCCATGATGGCCGCCAATGGGGGGACTTCCTTTAACATAAGACCCTATGGGAAATACATACAAATGCTTCTTCTAGAGGTGCACTGAATGGAATGAAACCAAAACATGGCATAAATGTTTCTTATGAGGTGCTGATTAAGTGTTGCTACTTTGTTGCTGATTTACTGTTCAAGATGGCCACCAGGATATTTTTATTAAATTACAGGACCAATATTAAACCAAATTTGGCCTCACTCATTATTAGGGTATCTGTTATGATTTTAATCTATTTTTACATGATTTCCAAAACCAAAGTAGAATCAGGTGAGCGACACAGGCTCTTGAGAGCCTCTAGTTTCTTTAACTTGAAGATATCAATATGAGGGTCGTAATGGCGGTACCTTCATGACGAATCACGGTAAAAATTCTTGCCAAATGTCGTAAACAATAATTTGTGGTGCATGACGATAAAATGTACACTTTCTTTCAGACGATAAAAAAATCAACTGATTTTGACGAATCACATTACCTTATTTTCCAAAAATAACGTTAACGTTTGTTATTTGAGACCTCCGACAAATCAAGTTAAACTTTTTACCAATTTGACGCTAACGGTAGCCGGAAATGTCCGTATGACGACTGACGGTAAAGGACATTCCTACCTTCCAATATACATTAAAATTTCTCAAATGATAAAATAAAATACAAATAACATAATACCTTCTGATTCTTTTCTGTTTCCTTTTGGTTTCCTTTTTTGTTGTTTTGGCTGTACTTGCACCTGAAATGTAAGAGTTCATGTAGCCAAAGTTAAACAGGTTTGAACAGGTCACGTTTCTAAATAACATCGAACGCAGATTTTTAAATAAGTGATCTTTGAGTAAACATAATACAGAAGACGGGAGCGAGAAAAAACACCCATGTCACATTGTGTAGCGTGATCGACCTCTTAATATTGCAATGATTTCCACAGAAACAAATGTTATAATGTATATGAGTCGTTCTGAAGTTGGAGCGAGATGAATGTTTTTTTTTTAAAATTTTGCTCCATGTTGAAGGTTCACTGTCATTTTCAGATGAACAACAATGAGAGCGCTGTTCCTTCGATTTTTATTTCGTAACGTATATATAGTGTTTGTGTGTCCTATGGAAAGCAAAATATACGGACAAATTTATCACTTCGACTGAAAGCATTATTTATATTGTGATGGCCTGCCTTTTTTTTATTTTTTTATTTTTATACAATGAAACTGGAGATTAAATTGATTAATATGTTAAAAGAAAAATGTGGAACCTTCCATAAATAAGAACTAGACAGACTTACAGAACACTCCTCTCGCTCATTTTCCGATAATCTCCTTAATTCTGCTGGAATGTCTTGATCAACCGAGGGCCCTTGTTTTTTCAATTGTTGTTTGGGTAACAACGGAAGAATCCATTTTGCCTTTGATAAAACTTTTGTCCTTCTGTATGGCAAACTGTCTCTAATTTTTTCTAGATGAGCAAGAAATCCGCCCCACCACTGTTTCTCCGTATGTTCTATTTGATCAGTGAAAAGACATTGCCACTGTGGTATTCTAGATTTTATTTTATTTACGTCTATCTTCTCAAACTGAGGATTGATAACTTTCGGTATTCCCTTTGGTAAATTTGGTCTTCCAGAAATGAGTTGAATAATGCCATGTTCTGTTTTCCATTCGCTGTCTTGGAAAGCTTTGTATTGCATTTTCACATTATTTGTTGCTAAATCCCGGATAAACTTATAATGCAAAGGTTTAGTATGCTTTCGAATGTCGCTAAGGCTTGATGTTATCCATGAACGAATGTCATAAATGGCTTCAACATCCTTAACGTTCGGAAGCATCTCCTTTAGACGAGGCATAGTTTCAGCATCATTCCTACGAAGAGTTTCAGCTATTCGACTAAAAGCAGCATCCACATCTTCGTGTGTATGTCCAACTGGTAAAAATGATAAATGCACCTGAAAAGAAAATTTGCTATTCGTAACAGTACAGTAGTTGGTGATTTAAATACGCTAACTTTTAATGCTAGAAAAAACTAAATCATTAGTGTGTAAAATGCTAAATTGTTTCAATTTAAAATCAGGTTCATCATGATGAAATAGTATTCCTTGTATAATAAGAGTTGACCATACCCATCTTATTAAAAGGCAGTAAACAATACATGTATGTGAATAAAGAGCTGCGCCAATAGCGCGTGATACGCCCGTAGCATTTTCAAAGAATTAAGTTCCAGTCCTCCTAAATGTCATATTATTAATTTATCAAAAACCATTAAGGGATGTTATATTAACAGATACAAACCAGCCATCAAAGTTTCATGAATCTGCACTAAGCAATTTTGAGTTGTTGTCCGAAAACTGAAAAATCCCCCCTTTTTTATGAATAAAATCCCACAACTCGGAAGTGTAAACGGTAAAATTTATGAAAATTGAACGGGAGCATACTTCAATAGATATAAACACTTCACCAAAGTTTCGTGAAAAAATTAACAATTTACCAAAGTTTGATGCAGATTGTTATTGTCCGACATGTTGACAACGGACGGACGGACTGAAGGACAGCGGTATACCATAATACGTCTTGTAAACGGGTGTATACAAACTGAGCGAATAGCATATTACAATATATATATGTGTTAACTTTCTGGTTAGAAAGGAGCTCCATCTAAATCATTAAGATATAAATGGTTTCTATTCAATATAATTATCACTGGGTAACATAATTCTAACTAAAATCTTAGAAGTATTTTACTTCCATGTTAAAACCTCGTAACTTACATGTTTAACCAAAAGTCCCCCAAAAGTATCCCAAAAAGGGGGTCTTCTAAATGAATGTTTTACAGACAGACGTACCATTAGCATGTTCACTATTATAAACAATGATACATGTGTGCAATTTCACAGAGGTTATTTTAATGGAAAGGCACTAATTAATGTGTCAATTGATCATATATTTTCATTGTTTGGTAAGATATGTGTATATACAGTGCACTGTTCCTTTTATCTACTTGATGTGAATGACCCCATGTGGTTAGCATCTTTATCTGTGGAATTAATCGTTTAATATCTTATTAAGATGTCACAGATTATATGTTGGATATATTATATGACAAGAGGCTGCGTTTTTCAACCTTAGCCCTACATTTATCTTCAAATGTTTATAATTAGTCCCTCCTCATGAAAAAAAAACCCATTAAATCAAAGCAAATGATTGTATTTATTTCTCGCGAAATGATGATACAATTTTCATGTATTACATTTTCCGGGATTTATGGGGCACACGCCCTTATAATCATACAACCCCCTCCCCCGGTATAGAATCTGCCTATGCAATTATACTTAACACTTACCACAGTTTTAACCCTTAAACCAAACCGTTTTAAATAGTGCAATAACCACACCGTTTAAATAGAGCAAAACATAATATTTATTTCTTGAACAATACTAGTATTAACACATTAAAAGCTTATAAAAATAGCGAAGCAGATCCAGATTTGAAGTGAAGAGGGAAGACCCAAACAAATTTGCATAGCAGAGGAAAGAATTAAATTAAAATACATTTTCACGATTAAGGGTGCACACGCCCATAAACCCACACCACCGACGGGTAACAGCCTCTGAAAATGAAGTAACAAGAATCGCAATAATTTGTAAATTGCAACTTACCTCATTGAAAATGCGTTGGTGAACAAGGAGTTCACAAAAACCCAGTACATATCGATTTTTATTTTCTCGCCAACAATTATCTGCTTGCAAGTACAAAATAGGCGGTAACTTGTTACCCTACAAGGACAGAAATTATAAAATTACTTCAGTATCGTATCTTATCACAGTTTTAACCCTTTAACCACATCATTTTATAATAAAGGTCTTATAATCACTCGTAATATTCCGTAAATGGCTCCATAACAATTCATTAAAACTATTAAAACGGTCGTAAAAATAACCAAATCGTAAGGATTTGTGAATTTGTGCGATCCTTAAGGGCTCGTTATATAAATCCGTTGATGTGAAGTGGTGCAGGATAACTCAGACCGTCAATAGGTCATCTCGAACCGTCTACAAAGTCAACTCGGATAGGCCGATTCAGACAAAGAATGAGAAGAGAGTTGCTACTTTATAAATGATTAAACCAGTGTCTATGAAGAAGACAATTCGGACCGAAAATGAAAATGCAGTGAGATTATAAAATGATAAACATATATCATAAAAATAAATTCAATTTATGGATAAATCAAGTTTGTTTAATGAATTAATAAAGATTGTATTCAAAATATTGAATCGCAATGATGAAGAAGAATTACGGATTTACATAAAACTTTTTTGAGGGCACAGCAACTGGTTTTCAAATGCAACAAGTTACAATGGATATATGTTAAATATAACATTTAACCATTCAAATAGCACAATCTCAGTTTTTAAAATTATATATATCAGACGAACTTATTTGTTTGGGGGTATAAATTAATTTTTTTTCTACAAATTAAAAAGATATGTAGAAATGTGGATCACAGTAAAACTCGGGGGACCACTTCAATACTTAATTGATATGGTGTGCCGATTGGGATCTGAAACCCCACCCTTTACATATAATTTCGATGATTTCAAAAATATTACTTTCCATCTATTGCCTAGGATAAATGTAACTTTTCCTCATATTGGTATGGTTTTGTGTTGGAAAAGTGGACGAAAAACAAATTCCGTGATAATGGGTGAAATTTTAATTTTTCAGCTTAGAGCTCAAATCTGAGACTCGGCGATTCCATATGTAATGTTTACTTACGGCGAGACTTTTGGCTATGAAAAAATACAGGGCGTTTCATATAACAAGTAATGGGAACTCTATTTACCTTATAATTTATTTCCGATAGTTTTCCAACCTATTCACATATTTTCAAGCTGGAAAATGTGACCAATTCCAGCGGCACGTCCTATCACTTTGTATATAATGGAGTGCTTACCCCCACCCCACCGGCGGTCTCATATGTAATGACAGATCAGATGTTTAAATTGTGAAGTGTCTTACTTACCATAAGTTTTGAAATCTGGTAAAGAATTAGCATAAGGATATTCATGGTCAGATTAGAGTCATGCGCATATTGGTTCCAGTCGAGAAAGGTGAAAAATTTATTTTGTCCATGGGCTAAAACTCCGGTGACATGTGTTGTTAGTTGGTCAACTTTATTCACAGCCTGCAATAAAACGTGTATATAAACTTACAAGTAAGACTTTAGGAAGAACCATTTATATATACTCGATTTAACAAATATATATACAAATAATGCGATGTTTAATGGGTCAATGAGACAACTACAGAAAAAGACCAAAGAAAAAGGTAAATAAAATGGTTTACTATACTAAAGAAGTATAATAAAATAATGATCTTCAAGGCAAACTAAAAAGAGGAAGTCTATATAAACTGACAAAATCAAACGCTGTCTACGGAACTAGTGAAAAACAACTGCCATTTTCCTAGCTTGGTACACGAATTTGTGTCGAGATCGTCAGTTTGCAAATAATTCCTCTTAAACTGGTGCTAGGGGCCGTAAAACTTGCAATGAGATGTGTTTTTTTGCTCCGTGTTGGAGAACTCAATTTAATTTAGAGATGAAGACCAGCAATTAAAGCGCTATTACTTTGCGTTTGTTTTTTGTTTTGTGTTGTGCATGTTCTGATTTTATGTTATGGATGGATACCAAATATCCGTTCTTTTCTATTTATGTAGAATATGTGTACTTTGTCGGAGCTTATAAAATTAATTTGTACGGGCATAAGAAACAAAACGAAATGCGAGGCTCGCCGAGCCATTTCCGACAATGTACATAAATTCATTGTTTTTATCATGCAATTTACATCCGCAACTTTAAAGTTTAATATTTTGAATCCAAAAAGATGCAGATGAAGGAGGACTATTGGAGATGGAAGAATCATCTATGTCACTGGGAAGATCCCAGACAGATTCACCGCCCCAACTGTCTGATTTAACTGTATCTTTTTTATTTGATTTCTTTTTTTCATTTTTTTTAGATGATGACATTGAGCTCTGTAAGGAAGATTGAGTTGACTGAGTACTGGTTTTAGAAGGTGTTGGTTTTCTTGGAATTAATATTTTATCGTTAGGTTCTGTTTCAACAGGCAGCATTGTAAATGTCTCAGCATCAATTGGCCAGGTCATGCGAGTTTGTGTATGCTCGTGACTGAATGAACGGACAACTTTGCTGGCGTACGATGGTCTGTTCGAAACAAGGAGATCATTCGAAACAGAAGCTATCTGTTTAGCTTCTGGGTAACTGATGTTTCTTTTTGTTTTAATTTTGATAATATTT